AACCAAGGCTTCTGCATTAGTTTTTTAATTTAGCCTCACTTCAAGAAGATATTCCAAGTTCAGTTGTCAATTCAGTGATTTATTTTAGAATTGCGAGGCTCAGGGAAGCAGCTCAGCAGGAGAAAGACAAAGAAGAAGCAGCGGCTATCAAGACGTTTCTGTAAAATTAGATCAGATTTCATTCTGGGTTTATCTTGCACCATACAGTCTGATCACATAAGAACTTGGGGAGAATAATTTATTATAGAGATCATGAATAACAATATCACTTCATTTTGGTTTTTTTGAAAGATTTTTCTAAGGAATGATTTTGATGTTGTATTTATACTAATGAATGGTAAAGAAGGGATTTAGGATATCTAATGATTACAAATATATTTGGAATTGTGCTTGAAGTTAGGAACGACAGACGGCTGGATGATACTGTACACTCCGTATTTGAAATAAAAAATAAAAGGGATGAAGCAAGGAACCTTTTGTTTTTGTTTTCGTTTTTAAAATAAAAGCAAAACGTACCATTGGTTGGGTGTCGAGCAAATGAGATAGAAAACCTTTTAACAGCAGAACCGCGTGTGGTGTCTGAGAAAGAGAAAAACAGGTACCTGAAATTTGTAACAGCTACCAAAAGAGGGAGATTTTAAAATAGGAAAGGAAGAAGAAAGAAAAAAAGAAAAAGATGAGAAGGTATTAGAACTGAATGGCATGCAGAAGGGACCAAGGAAACGGGCTAAAATCTAAAGAGAGGTTAAAAAGAAGAAAATTTGGATTGTTGGTAACTACAAGATGTGTAGTGAAGTGTATGAAAACAAGCAGAATGAGCTGGTGATTCTGGCATACAAAGTTATATCAGGTTAGAGTCGAACACTGAATAGTGAACTGGGTGGCAGGAAACAGCATGAATACTGTTTCACCTCAGGATTATAAAGGTGTGCTTCGGCATCTTTACATTCTGAAATCTAGTGAGAGAGTTTCTTCTCTACCCCAGATTATCCAAACCCGAAAATCTCATGTTCCTATGTAATCCAAACCCCACAAAAAAAAAAAAAAAAGAAAAAAAAGTCAGGAATCCTAAAATTTTCACCATCAGTATTTAACTTATTAGTTTACAATTTCTTTTATTCCTTGTATATGCTCCAAGTAATTTATTTAATTTTAAGATCAATTAGTAATGCTAAAAGCCAAAGTTTAAAATGATCAAAGAATTTAAACCCAAAAATTTTAGTTTACTTAAAAAACACACTTGCTGAAATCTCCTGGCAGACATTACAGGTCTGTGAGCTAGTGTTCAATTCAAGACAAACAAGAATTAACTATGCTATGAAGTTAAACGTAAGCAAGCTACGGGCAATAAAGAAGCAACAGAAACTCATACAATTAATACTAAGGCAAAGGATTCTAGGATTCCATTAAAATCTTTAGAAGTTCAATGTGGCACATGGGTTTGTGCGTGCATGTGCGAGAGTGTGCACATACCATCTATGAAGCCAGAAGAAGTCAGCTTTTTACGATGAGTACGAGCATAATCCTGTAGGTTAGGTGCACTTGAAGAACCCCCGAGCACTGAGGTGCTAAACAGGCCCGCACAGTGAGACCCTGATGGGAGTTAGAGAAAATACATACAACAACCAGGTGTTCGTCCATTCACATTGGGGATGCATGCAGCATGCAAGCACATGGCTCTTACCACACAAAAGGCAGCTTTTGGCAGTGCCTTGGACAGGTTCACAATATGCTTGTAATGTCAGAGTGGTACTTGTAGGCTGAAACTATCATAATTTATTGTGCTTCTACTCATGAAACAGCACCCTCTGCTATATGTGCAAAGAGAGGATTGACTTTAACAAAGTGAGTTCTTGTCCTGTGTTCACTTTTGGTAAAAAAAAGTTACCAGTTAGCATCAATGTAAACATAAACAAAACAACAAAACAAAATGAAGATGATGATGATGTGAAAGTTGTGTGTTTTAAAACCTGCATTTCTGAAACAAATATAAACTGGAAAAATACTGCTCATTGCTTTATCCAAATCAACCTTTAAGATGACAGCCTGCAATGAAGTACTCATGCATTTCCACAGACTGAGTATGGAAATATTTCCATTTTAACCCCAACAAACTGTTAACCAAATTGGAAATACTCTATTCATATTTCAGCTACCATTACTGACAATGTGACAAACTGAAAATTCCTAACAGTTCCATCAAGATTAGCTTGACTTCCTTTCCTGAGAAGACTTTTGCACAGCTCCATGCAAGTGACAGTACTTTTGTTACAACTCATACATTCTTGCCACTAGGATGGGAGTTTAAACAAATCACTGAAAGCCACAGACAAAAAGATAAAATTAACTTTTGTAATCATCAACCATAAATGAAACTTACATACAACAATGAACAAAATGGAAAAAAATGTCACGATTTTTTTCCTTTACGTGTTACTACTAGTTGAAAGGAGAAGTGATTTTTCACTCAGAACTTATCTTTTACATTTTAGATAAGTAGCAGTGGATTTTTTTTTTGAAAACCAGCAATATTTCCTTTCATTACTTTTAAACATCCAGTGAGGGGAAGCATTACTAGCACATGTGACCAATCACAGCCAAAATAAATTGGTGCCTGGTCTGTGGCAAAAGCCTTTCACAATAAATGTAATACCTTAACCTACACACAGAAATACACCAACTTCCACAAGCCATATTGTGTCACATAATAGAAAAGTCATTTAACTTTAGCAAGCACATAATAAAAACCAGGACTTTGATAAACAAGAGCACCTGATGTATGCATTTTACTGAGGGAAAAATATAACAGGAAGAAAAGTACCACAGAAAGATTAGACATTCAAAAAATACAGATCTTTACAAAGAAAGGAAAAGCTACTTCTAAAGTTTATGCATATAGCTTATGCATTTTCTGCACTTCATTTTTCCCCATGAAAAGATACACAGAAAAAAAGCAATATTGATTTACAGTAGTGCATGATTTCTTTTTTTTGCATATGAGTCATAGGTAGTCCTGTTTCAAAAAAAACCCAACAGAAAAGCACCACTTGAATTAAAAGAATTTGAAACAACTCATTGAATTATAGCATGATTCATTCTAGTGCTGAAAAGAAGAAATTGATTTTAGGAAAGGGTATATGTGCAAAACCCCTGACATTATCAAGAAACTTGAGCTTTGTTCCCCATTCCCCTCCCCTTGGTAAAACGTCTTCACTTCCATCAGTCGTCCACAGTAGGAAATGCAAATTTCCAAGAAAAGTGTTTTAACTGTTTCCAGTGCAGGACATTTCAATCCAAAATGTTCTTGCAAAATCCAAAAACTCAATCATAAACTACGTTATCTTAAAAATCTATGTTAAAAATAATCCTGTGTACCTATTGCAAGCAGTACAGAATCAGTAGTATGAACAGTCTCAAACAATTTGCCCTCTTTGTTTATAATTTATTTAAAAACTTTTGCTGCAGAAAAATTGTGAGGTTCATAGGCAGACACTCAGAATATACTACTGATAACAAGTACTATTGGGTCCTGTTAACAAAAAAGCTATTTGAAGAATATACCACTGTACAGAATAAAGGGCAGATGAAAAGCTGATAACATCAAATGAAATTTCAATTGTAGGCACATACCTAGACCACTCTGCTTTTGCTCCAGAATAGTTCTTGGTGTTCGTAAGTTACTACTGCTTTCTGATAGGACCTGGACATAAAAAACAGAAAAATAAGGGGAAGTAGAACAGCAGCATGAAACATCCATTTAACTTGATACAGCAGCCTGTTTCAGACAGACAGGTGTTAATAAGCTGTATGATAAGTGTTAGTAAAAATATGTAAAGGAAACATGAAAGATCATGCAATATCCCCTTCTGAAGGGAGTCCATTTCACATATAAGTTCCTTGCAATGAAGTGGTGCAAAGCAAGCATTCAGAATGAGAAAGGACACAGACCAAGACAGGTATGAGAACAAACATTTGAGACATTTTATTTCATTTTACCAAATGCACTCTCCTAAACTGCGCCTGTATTGAAAAGAGGAGGAGAGGGAAGGAAAGACAGACAAGCTATTGAGGACACCATACAATCACTGATCCATGCACGGGCTCAATCAGTGTAATCTTCAGATGCTCACAGCCTTTACTGATATAAACTTTTCCAATGTAAATAGTTTAAGAATTTTCCATAATAATTATGAAAATTTTCAAGGAAAAAGGATGTGGTTAACAGAACACCATCCACTGGCATACATGTAAACAATATCTTGAGGTACTGAACAATCTTTGTATCTTCAACGATACTTTGAAAAAATTTTCTTTTTTTTTCCTGCCTTCCCCTCACCCGCCAGTATATAGAAAAAACTTCAAAATATTGTACAAGTCAATGGATGATGTACTGTGTTGGGAGTTTGATACCTCTGGATACAGAAGGCAAGAATTATTAGTGCTAGAGTTTTTTTTCCCTGCAATAGTTAATACCAGGCCACTGAAAATATGATATATGCAAAACAAGTTTTGAATAGCAATATTAAGTACCAAATAAATTATTTTAAGTGGTATTGGTTGCAATGATTTTTTTTTTTTTCAATTTACCTACCACCAAATTAAGCAATGCTGGTTTTAAAGTCTTAAAGGACAACTAAACCAAAGCAGAAATCTCTTTCATTAGGCAGAAGACTAAGCCTTTTTACTGCGTAACATTTGCAATTCCTATAAAGAAACCAAATTCTAATGAAAATGTGTAACACATTCAGTGGAAAAACATGCACTTGCTCTTTTTCCCCCAAACATTCTCAGCAAGTAATTTAAAGAAGTGGAAGATTTTGCTTCAAACATAATCCATAACAAGGGATTAGATGTCCTTAAAGACAGTTGTTGCTTGGAATGCATAAAATGTTTAATGAAGTAAAGTTTAAAAACCTGTTGCCATGAGCCAAAAATACTGGATGTGAAAGCCAGTGATTTAGGGGAGACAGGGGAAGAAGTGATTTGTTCCCCTGATCTGCGTCTTCGACGCCCAGTACCCACACCACTGGTGTAATGCAGCCAGGTACCAATACACTCTGGGCTAGACACACTCAGGGGGCTCTCTTCCTGGAAGTGAGAAAGGGGGCAAAAAACAGCAAAGCATGCAAAGTTAGATTCAACAGAGCCAAATGAACAGAAAAGAAAAAAACCCAACCTGCTTGCACCCTTTTATATACTACTTTTAAAACTATTAAACAGTGAATAGAGAAGTGTAATAATACAACATTTTGAATTTTTCATTTCCACTTTTATGTCTTCATCCAATTACATCTTTCAAGACAACACTTCAATCAAATTTCTGGTAGACTGCTTATTAGATACAAAAGCATTTAATAACTGATTGTGAATTTTAAGAATTTTCCAGAAAATATGTCAGCCTTGACATACTGTTTAATAGTTTTTCCCCTCTTAAGTACATTAAACTTTCCTATTTATTACTTAGTAGTTTCTATTTCTAGTCTATAACCTTATCTGAAAGATTCTAATTTTTAAAGCTGCCTTTGAAACTTTGCAACTGACTCACTGGTAGTGGCACCAACCTGACTGTTTTCCAACCTTAAAAAAGTCCTAAAAATTATCTGATGCTGGACAGTGTACAAAGACTTCACAGGAGGACAGTGTCAGGCTAATAGGTCCCCCATGCCCTACATCATTAAGTATCATTAGCCATTAACATATTTTTGCAATACAGAACTTTATTTCCAATGCCAATGAGCCTTATTTTCTTGATTTACTGCTAGCACTCTGTTTTATTTTCTTTTAATGACTCAAACACAGTTGTGATCTTTCTGTAAATATTGCTTACGATAAGCCAGATTAAAACTTCCATATAATCTCACACCTGACAGTGTCCTTTCAAATTAACGGACATAGGTGAAGAGAGATTTGCCTTATAGGAGGGAAAAAAAAGGAAAAAAGAAAAAAATAAAGAAAAAAAAAAGAAAAAAGTTCAAGGCAGTTGCAGTTTAAGTTGCAGTGACTTTTTTTTTTAAACACTTTAAAATACCATTTGGTTTAAATATTCCAAATACTGGTTTTGCAGATTTCAGTAGGCCAGATGAAATTTACAATCTTGCTTTTAAGAAAAAATGTTTCATACTGTATGTTTTCTCTAAATCAGCTATCTTCTTTCAGCAAACAAACAAGCACTGAATGCTGAAACACCTTCCATCTGAACATATATTATCTGCACAGACAAAATTTGGCAATTTGTGCTATTGATATTTTGTGAAAGTAACTTCCACATAATTTATGAAAATGGTCAAAAGTTTGAGGTAACAGACTATCAAGCTGTGCATATGTGAACTCATAACTAAGAGGGGAGTTTGCATGATCACAGTGAAAACAGATTTTAAAAATTCAAAATATCGACGTTGTGAGCATTTGCTTATGAAAAAACTTGGAAATAGAAAATGTAAGACATTAACATTTATTATGTCTGTTAATTTATGGAAGTCATGTGACGTTATACAGATCTCTTTATAGAAGGGAACCATGCATCTTTTTCTCTCCACACTGCCAATAACCAAGTGACTTGCAAATCTATAATACTTTTATTGCATACAAACAGCCCATTCCCAACACAAACATGAAAGAAAAAGCTTTTGGTGTGAATCTTCATTTCTGATGGTTTTAAGCAACTGAAAATGAGGCAATAAGAAGCTGTTAGTCTGCTTCTAGCATTAATATCACAGAAGTGCCACTATGCACCATCTGAAGCTTTGCCACTCAACCGTTCAAATGGTATCAGTGATACAGCCGTGCATTCCCCCACCTCTGTGACATTAAAGCCATATCTTTGAAGCACACCTAGATGTCATGGCCTTTGAGACAGCAACTAGACTGTTCAAGATGTTAACTAAAGAATTCATGAAACACAAACCCCAGCCACTTAAAACAAACAAACAAAAAGCTTCCGGCTTATTGGCTTACCTTCAAAAGCTTGACAAGTGGAGTCACTTTCACCCCACGTGAAAGCAAATACATTAGAAGACATTTCACCTCTTGTACCTCCCCTACTGCCCCCAACCCCTCTGCTCCCTTCTCAGCAAGATCACCCTGAAAGTCTGTTTAATTCCTAAAAGCAGCTGTCTTGTAAGGATGAATACAAAAGCAGTATATGTTAGTTTGTTGGTGCGGGTTTAGACTGAGTAAGTCTTCATTTTCAAATAACAGCTTCTCTTAAATGGCTTTAAAATAAAAGTCTTTTTGGAGAATAATAATTCATTTTTGAAAAAAAATATTCCTTCAGACAAACTACTGCCATACAGTAAGAATGAACCTTCTGTGAGGTCTATCATACTGGTTCTGTGTAATCAAAAGCAGAATTACATTTGTTTTTCTCTTGTTAGTAGTAAGCAAAAGTTAATTTCTCTGAAAGACATTATCTGGAACATAAACACTTACTTCAACAGAACCAATCTTCCTGGATCTTGGAAGGGGTGACTTTCTGTGTATGTGAATTGGGTCTGATACCATTGGCTTGAACATCACTACTGATCGATCTGTTTCATCTCTTTTAGGAGCGTGTGCCTCCTCATCGCTATCATTTCTATGAGAGGTTTTCTTCGAGCCTTCATTCTACAAACAACACAATTCATTTTCAGTTTGTCAGCACACCTTGCTACATGTAGACAGAATTGGCTCTTAAATAAATCTTGTCTGGAAAGATTTATTTAAGCAAGCTGATTTTAAGAATACAAGGCTTAAATCACATATTATTGAACAAATGGCTCTAGAGTTCAATAATCTACATGTGTTTGCTTCCAACCAGCCACAGCCTATGACAGTATGGCCCTAATTAATCCCTCTGTTCAGCTAATGTATCTTACTCCAATTTTCTGTTGGCATAGTAATAAAATCCTGGATGCTCACTAGTCACTAGAATTCCAGCTAAGCTTTGCTTTCATTCCTTTCTTTGAAAATATCAATCCTTCCTCAACAATCTCTATTCATAAACATGCCAAATTACTTTCTTAAATGTTTCTTTCAGTTGCCAAAATATCATTCATGTGACACTAATATTAATACCACTTTTCTTACAATGAGTATTTTTTTATTTTTAGCAAAAATTCTAGCAAAGCCCTAGAAATCCTAAAATATCTCTGTCCTTTACCACACTGACCATTCAAAATGGAAAATATTGGGACTGCCTATATTTTACTGGACATTTTTGTAGCAAAATAAAAATTACACTTGTGGTTTTTACCTCACAATTTTTCAGTGTTTATTTTAGGTATGACCACATCAAGAAAAACTAACACTTGCTTTAAAGAACAGCATCACTATTACCTCTCTGGAGGCAGGTCTGTATCCATATCCAGCCGGTAAATTTTTGTCTTCCTCACAGCCTTTGGCTCCTGGACTAAAGTGCAGCTCTACATGAAAACGTTCTTCCGAAGAAAGCTCCTGAAGGAAAATGATTGAATAGGTTTAGACTTTAAATTCATAGCTCAGCACTTCTTGTTTCTGAAGATACTTATCCTTTTTAAATACCTTGTTTGGATCCTCATAAAGCATGATAACAATCTGTGTCATGTAATTGAGTTCATTTACCACATTTAAATAATCCATAGCTCGTTTCCATTGTTCATCTTTCGATTCCTTATGAAGGGAGAAAAAAAAAAAAATCAGCAAATAAAACCCAGCTATTTTCTTGAAAAAGACTAATAATTTTGCTTTTTCTCCATTTACACAGATTTTACATTCACAGCAGAAGTACAAAGCTTAGCAGAGATACAGAGATGCAGAGATACAACCAAAAAACCAACTGATTTAAATTACTCATCCAACGAAAGAAAAGCATTGGTAAGAACTCTTCATATTTTATTTCAGTGTGCCTTTCACGCTTTTTCACCAATGATGGTATGTCTTAGAGGCACTGTTTTATTCTCTCCTGCTGAGAACTGCTAATTTTGCGATAAATTCATTTCAACTAATATATTGGGGAAAATGTTTCTAGATACCATACTAAGAATCAGAGTAAATGAAGCTTTCTAGTATATAGAGGAAATACAACCATCACATCCCAAACTATTTCAATGAATTGTCACTTTTTTTCATGCTCTAGGAAAGAGACCATTTAGTAATCCACCTTAAAGGAAAATTAAAAGTTTATCAGACTAAAACTTAGAGTGTACCTGTTGCAGCATGTCACAGAAGTCCAGGATTAAAAATGCTGTTGCAATCACTGAATTTAATTATCCACTAGAGAAGCAAGTACGTCAATTCAACAATTTCAAAAGCTACTATATCAGTCAAGCTCTATCTTAAAAGCCACTAGCTAGGCTTTCTGGTGCTGCATTTATCCTCTCCAAGAACTCAGGTCATTTCTGAATCTGGAGACCTTGTCTTTTTCAGTCCATGATGTCAAAGACAATCAGATGGAGAATAATGGACCACCTTCAAAGTATTCTACAACAGTATAGGAAAGTAAGACAATTCACTGTACAGGAGAAACTCTGTGCTACTACATGAGCATTCTTGAAGTCAGGTAGGGAGGTCTTGACAATATGCCAATGGTCAAAAATAATTAGCCCGTGCAAAAGTAAATTTTTGAGAACCCTGAATGATAACTTGAAGGAAGAAGAGTTGAAAGAGTTCCTGGTGACAATATAAGACAAAAAAAAGGATTATCTGCCCTTTACAAATCTCCTTGAGACTGTAACATATACAGCCAATGGAACTCAGCATAACATTAAACAGACATGCTGATTTCCACCAATATGCAATCTGAAACGTGTCTCTGCATCTATAATAAGAAATAAAAATGTTTGCAATAATGTGATAAATTTCAAAGTCACTTAAGAAAATTAAGTTTTCAGTTGATACAATCATAGCAAGATTCAATCCTTTAGGTTCCTCTGAAAATACCAGAGATTTAACAAAGAAAGTGTTCAACTTACATCACATAAGGCACCATAACGAAGGGTGGATAACAGGGAGTGGACATGACTCTCACTGGTGAAATACAGCCGTGTACGAACATGACGTTCAGGGGACATAACACCCCTGGAGTAACTTAAAAGAAAGAAAAGTCTTATTAGACCATAACCAGGTGTGTCCCTATTTTAAAAACAGCTGTCAACAAATAAGTAAATAATATTTTCTAGTTATTATGAGCTAATAGAACACTTTAAATACAAAAGCTATGGAGTATCTCCATTAATTCTAATGGAAATTTTTGTAACCATGTAAAAAAAGTAACAGGCTTACAGAGGATGAAGCTTATTTACAGTGTCATCATCTTGAGTTCTCTGAAGGTCAGAACGGATTTTTCTGACTAGAGGAGTGCAGTAGCCTTTGGCAATCTCCAGTTTCTCTGCTTTAGAAATACCATATTCCTGTGAAAGAACACACAGTTTTAAAATTAAGTAAAAGATTAAAATGCCTTCTAAATCCAAGCTTCTATATTAAAGCAAATGAGTCATCTATTAGTTTGCTCTGGCAGCAAACCATTTTGTTCAACATTTTTACTACATTTGATTACTGATGTACCTTCAGGTAAACAGCAGTATGCCTTTTGGCTGTTTTATTTGATAGAAAGAAACGGTTTTTAAATCACTACTTAAACCAGAAAAGTAGATTCACTTTCTGGTATGATTAAGCTCTTTTTCCTAAGCAAAACATCTAGCAAGTCATTCCTCATCCCTTCCATCATCATCTTCTGTCTTGCTGCCACAATGCATTTTATCTCACATGACTTCAAGTAGCTGTGATTTTTTTAATAGTCAACAAAGAAACCTATTGGATAGGTCTACCTTAGTTTGGGGTAAATTACACCACAGAAGATCTCCTGCTTACCTCAAATAATAAGGCAAATGGTATTTAAATACAACTGGGAAATATTATGTGTCACAGTATCAACAGTATTTAAAAATCTGCTCTTTCAGAAGCTTTATGCTCTGTGCTACAGGTGCTATAAAAAGTGCTCTCATAATTAGAATGGACCTTCTTGTGACCCTAGAGAGCAACATAATCACTCTCCCTTTGCATTACATAGGCTACCAAGTTCTGGTTTCCTTCCTTCAGCATGGGTACTCATTTTTACCTACTCTTATCTAATCCTCTGTTCAAAACTTGAGCATAACGGGCCCACAAAACACGATGCATGCTAAGTATCATTACTCTTTTTGTACTCCTTGTCAAGGAGTTTGAGAGATGGGGAGACGAAGATGTTTCCTCATTTGCTGCATACAATATGGATAACAGCTCTGTTACTACAGTGCTCTGTAACAGCAGGGACACCTGCAGAAGGCTTTAGTCTGTTGTGTCCTGTTATCACAAAACAATTTCATGTCCTGCTGCCTACAAGATTTTAGAGCTAATCTGAGTTTAACAGCCTGCAGAACACAGAAGCTTAACTTGTCCAATTCTGGCCTGAAATTCTGTGGAACTTAGGGTCTTCATTCTTGTCAGGGATTGCTAGCATTCTGAAAAAGCAGGAAGGTCTTTTTGAATTCAAATTGTTTAAGATAAGTTAAATTACATAGATGAGGATTAACAGCATCATCTGCAAAGGGCCCAAAATTGAAATTTCTATAAGCAGGAAAAATGAAGGCAAAACCAATCTCAGAATACAGAGTCATTCACATAGGCTGCACTTAAGTCTACGAAGAATGATGAATATGAACCACTTTATTTAAACACATTGCTGTAAAGGAGGGAGGTATGTTCCTAAATTGCTAGGAAAATTCACTTTGAACACAGCCTAATGACTCGTGAGTCAGTTTGTCAGTCAGTTGGCTAATGAAAAATAAGATATAACACTAAAAGCTTCTGTAACTGCAAAATACAGGAGCTTCAATAGAAAAGAGAGTAGATGTTTTCATAAAAATTGAAGAAGCATTTATTTAACGATTTATTCTATTAAATAACTGAAAACGCTTACCTGAGGGATCACAATGTCAGCTAAAGCCTTTGAAAGCCTGTATAACTCCATTGTGTTTTCTAATTTTAAGGATCCATTGTGCTGTACATCATATTTTATGCAGTCATAGATATCAGGAATTTTGCTAATGTCATATCTTCCATTTTTTGTTTTAAAGTCTTTTTCCAGCTTGGACCACCTGCGCAGCATCAGTTCTAGTGTTTCACTATGGTACAGCTGAATATCTGGACAGACACATATCTCTTTTAAGTAATCAAGACCATTCAAGTAACAAAAGGACATTTTAATCACATGGTAGTAACAACTGAATTACAGAGGGATAAAAGGGATCAAATAAGTTAACTGCACTACTTTTAAAAAGAAGGAACAGATGGACATATGGTTTTACTGCTGAAAGCATCACAGCTACATTAAGGTAGCAGAAAGCATCGCTACAGGAATGCACCACTGGCCCTTTAAGCAAAGTTTCAGTGCCAAGAACAAGGCGCCCTACAGCACAGATCTTATATATTAGTAAGAAAAAAGATAATGCAACAACAAAAAAAAAGGCAGGAAAAAGCTGTAGGTGGGAGGAAGAAGAACAGGACGACATCTCTATTTCAGAAGAGACCATAGATCCCATTTATCTTTTCTCTGCACGTGTCAACAGCAAGAGCCAAGAGACTTAAAAGAATGGATTATCCCCATCCCCAGTAAGAGATTACACCAAACAGATAACACCACTGATACTATGTAAAGGTGACACTTGCACTGCTGAGCCTCAAATAGAAGCTGCTTGCATCCTGTACACTGCAGAGAACACTGACAGCAAACATTCCAGCATTTAGCTAGCAACAAAAAAGCACGGTGGTCTCTTCCAGCTCGCTGGTTTACTACCATTAATACTGAGAACCACTTAGTGCAACACTGCTACACATCATGGAGCAAACAACATTCAGCCAAAGATACTTAAAGTGTACCTATGTAACTTTAGTAGCATCTGCTTTTCCTATTACTTTTGGAGAATGCTGAGTTTCAAATAATTAAGAATTTCTGCAAAAATTCAAGGCGTGAATTTCTGAACACCACAAAGCCCTTACCTGCAATATGATTGCATGTTCCTCCTGCTTTTTACTTTAAAATTATGACTATGAAATCAGACTGTGTGTGCTGGTTTTAGCCGGGATGGAGTTAATTTTCTCTGTAGCTAGTGTAGTACAGTGTTTGGATTCAGAGTGAGAATACTGTTGATGTTTTGGTTTCTGCTAAGTTGTGTTTATCCTAAATCATGGACATTTTCTTTCCTGTGTCTTATGCTCTGCTACTGAGAAGGTACACAAGAAAACTGAGAGGGAGCATAGCCGGGACAGGTGACCTGAACTAGCCAAGGGGATATTCCCCACCATGGCATGTCATGCCCGGTATAGGAAGGGTCAATCTGGGGGAGGTTCGGGGGTTGCGCGGGTCCGCGGGTGCTGAGCAATGGTATTGTGCATCACTGCTTTTGTTCTTTTTATTATCCACTAGCATTTTAGCTCATTATTATTAAACAGTGCTTATTTCAACCTACATATTTTACTTTATCTTTCTCCTCCCCATTCCTCCAGGTTGGGGGGAAGCGGGGGGAGGAGGCTGTGTGAGCGGCTGCATGGTTCTTGGCTGCTGGCTCAGGTTAAACCACAACACTGTGAAATCCCTAAACCATTGTTGACTAAAGTTCTGTTAAAAGTGAATTTAAAAGTTATTATAATTCTCTCATATGTTGACAGGAAAAACTCAATACAGGTACAAAAATGTTTCAGTACCTGCAGACTTTGGATCTTCCATTCTTTGCCTGATCTGAGAAGTCAAGCTCTGGATCAAGTAATAGACCTTGTCACATGTCTTGACAGGATTTTTAATAACCTGCATTGATTTTATCAATGAGATGCTTCCAGATGGAGTAAGCTGCAATTTGAGATAAAACACAAAATTACCTAAACAGACTAGATTTGAAAGACCTGGTGAGACAAGATGTGAAACATTCCAAGTACTGCAGAAAATTAATTCCAGCAGGTTGCTATTAATTTTCATAATAATTTCTCAATTATCTATTCCCTTGAAGGCATTAAAAAAGAAAATATATCCAAAAGGTAGTAAGATCTACCAAAGATTCAAAACTGACAAGAAATTCATAGGGCAACTAATTCTATACAGTAAGTGTGAGCAACTACAAGAATTCATAAAACTCTTATTGTTCCAAGACAGGAAAATTGATAGATGCTTAAAACTTTGCATACACTTTGCAAGCTCCCATAACTTTGTTTCTATAGGACTGCAGGATACAAACACAAAAGGAAACCTTTTAAATGCATGTATCAAAAACATACAAGATCTTCGGAACTGAAATTATGGAAATTGTAGAAGTAACAACTTCTCACCATCAAGTTGAGTGTCACTAAAACAAGACAGTCAATATGAGTGAAGCTTAGCCTCATTTATTTCAGAAAAGTCTGCAGAATCCAAAGTAAGGAATGATATTAAACAGTAATTTAAACACTTAACACATACATATTTGCACTTTCTTCAGTCTCCTGAAATGCATAGAATAATTTGGATATGGAAAACTTCTGCTCTCTACCTAATAGCAAGCAGCTTCCAACTCCCTATTATGACCAATTTATACACATAATGTAATAGGTAGGGCAGCACAGGAATAAATCCCATATATTTTTCTCAAATCAAGCAAGTAAAAAAAATTCACAGATAAAGTTGTTCTTGCTTTATAATTCCAAAGGATGGAACACCTATACAGCATACATGAATAAATCCTTGAGACCCTGTATCCTCTCTCACTATTTTCAAGTACCACTCAATGTTAAATGATACTGTTTGAATGATACTTTATATGTTTAAATGTATCCACATAGAGTATACATGCAGGGTAGTAAAATTACTGTTCATTAGTTTCAGAAAGAGCAGTTTAAGCTTAACCTCATTTGAGGATTTGTATTTACTTGTTATAGGAGACAGAGTAGGGGAAACTGAAAGAAATTTCTTAACAATAACAAACATTACATAACGTAAAACCAGGAACAATCATGTGGACTGTACTAAGTCAACATGAACTGTATTACTATGCCCTAATTTAGGATGTTAATGAGGTATTTCCTTTCACTGGTTAAAAAGTATTCTATCAGCTTTCTGTATCTTAGTATTCTTAGCTAAAAAAGAAAAAAACCTTGTAGCAGGTTAAATATTGAAACAACTGCAGTAGGCAGGGAAACGTTTCGCAATAATACACAGTCAAAGTAAAGATTACAAAAACTGTAATCAATCTAACCTCATTTCTTGAATAAATAAAATATTTTAAAGGGAACAGTGAAAAAATATATGAATGAGGTCCCTATCTACTATTTCAAAGTTTGTAGCTATTCTAATTACTCAAATTGCAAATAAAATACCTGTAGCCACAAGTACAGCTTCCTTTGCGGTTCAAACTACTTGCAAGCACACAGTTTTTCAGAACAGATACATAAAATCATTGTTCATTACTTTTACACAGAAATTTTTACAACTATTTATTTTATTTCATAGGAAACTAATCATATGCTAACCTTATCATAGTCATCAGCAGTAAATTCTCTGTCTCTCTGGAGAATTTCATGGAGTCTTGCTTTAACACGATGCTGACAGCTGCTTAAAGAATCACTGTCACTGTCCAACAAACCATTCATATTAGCACTTTTTACCATCTGGACAAGAATAGGAGTCAGCTCTCCCTCTAAGGCAAGCAGTCCCTGAAGCAAACAATACACTTAATCAGGTGAACAGATAAAGATGAGAATATGACTATCTTAAAAACCCACTAATTTAAATTCAAGATGATATCACTTACCTATGGGTTAGATAAACAGGGACACAATGCAGATATTTGCATATATATGGACCCCAAAACATTAGCTTAGTGTGCAGAACTGACAGAGATGATCAAACACCAGTGATGACATGTCATATACAGCATGTTCCCCAGCACCAGCTGAAGTGACCCTATCATCTCAGTGGTGCCAACACTAGCCCTGGAAGCCAAGAGCCGTTATGGTCTTGGACCGTGGGCAGTGCATGATGTTTTCTCCCTGAAGCTGGGAACAACAGCTGCCTGACTTGTGGGTGACATGCTCTGTTTAAGGCACTGAGTTACCAGGCAGTAGTTTGTACCAGATAGGAAGTGTTAGCAAACCAAATAGAATCAGATAGGACAATCAGAAGATAGATAGGGTCTTTGCAGAGATTGTACAAAAGCAAAAGCCCAGACTCTGTGAGTCACAGGACAATCAAAGGCCTTGAACAAGATGTGAATGGAGAATTCTAGAATGGAGAGTGCTGTAAACTTTTGTGACACTTCTGGCAACAGAAG